GAGAGAGAGAGAGAGAGAGAGAGAGAGAGAGAGAGAGAGAGAGAGAGCACACATCCAGCTTGTCTTGGAGTATTATACCATTGTGTTATTACTACTTTTACTAAAGTAAATAATCGAAACACTTCTTCCACCTCTGCCTGCTAGTGTGTGTGTGTGTGGCTGCTTGTGTGTAGTGTGTGTGTGTGGGCGGGTGTGTGTTAGCAGTTCTTGGAAAATGTATCACTACTCACATCTTTGTTTCTTTTATGTAATTATCATTGCACTGATATAAACATAGCTACATAATTTGAGTGTGTGTGTGTGTGTGTGTGTGTGTGTGTGTGTAACGTGCGTGCTGGGAGCTTGCACATGTAGCGGTGCCTCTGCAGAGTCAGTCTGCTCTGTCATGCTGTTTCCATAGCAGCAGCGAGAGCCAACACTGCCAACCACGCTCACTTCCTAGTTTCACCCCATTGGTGCAGGCTCGCTCTGACTCTCTTCCTACCTTTTTTTTGGGGCGGAGGGGGGGGGCTATGTGGGGACTGGATACACTTCAGTGTCCCCCCCCTTACATTCATTCGTTTAGACGGGGTCAACCAGGGCACAAGACACACAAAAGAAACACAAAAGAAAAGCAAAGATTTTCAAAATCGGGTCCATTTTCTTTCACAAAGCATGATAACCATAAATAAACAGCTGAATGTTTATTTTTTTCATTGTGGTGTGTTGTGTTGAATTGGTCACCTTGTTGTCATCTGTCCCATATCTATCCATTGAAATGATATCCATAGACTCGGTGAACCACTCTAGTCCGAGCAGCTTCATGTCCTTCCTGTTCTGTGTGTCCCGTTTGTCCATATTCTGGGTTCTTCCTGTGGTAAAATCCACCTCTGGAGACTTGTCTGTGTCATGAAGCTGACTGCCCACAGACAGCACTCATCGCTGCCCATGTAAACACCTCCCATTTCCTCCTAATATTTGTCATTGCCATTGCCTAATTCTAATGGGTAACATTAGCTCTGCTCTCTTTTTCTCTGCTCTTGTGACCAAAAAGCTGTTATTTTTAGTCTAGTCTGTCTTTTCATGCTTAAGCTGTTACATCAGTAGACTGTGAGTGCAACAGCAAGCGGCTGCAGAATCAGTAGCAATTAAAAACAAAGTGTTTAGCAGACTGCAGGCTGATATTCATACTATTGATTTTGCCATTTTGGAGGCCTTAAAAGACAGTCTGTAATTACTCTATCTACATGTCAGTCTGGAACACAAATGTTTGTGTTTTACTCAAAATAAATATACTTCATGACTGCGAATAGAGTGAAAAGAGTGAGAAAAAAAATCAAGCAAAACCACACAATTAAAATTGCTAATAAATGAGCTTATAACACACTTAATTCCCCTTTGATCTGTAGTAGAGATCTACATTGAGGTTGTATCAGCTCTTGTCAGTGTTGCTGGTTTTGGAGCATTATACGGGTCCATCTGGCTCTTGGCTGGGATGTCGAGCACTTGATTAGAGGTTGCAGCAAGCATTAAACTGTTGTCACATCTCTGGGAGTCGTGTAGCTTTCAGCCAAGTTAGCACTCGGACTGCCTTCTTACTCAGCCGATGAATGCTACCGCTAATGTGCAACTATGGCGGAGCGTGATCTGACAGCCGCACTGAAACTGAACATTTGAGAGGAGATATAATAGATGACTGAATCCAAAGGAGTGTGACATCTACCAGAAGTCTGGAATATGTAGGCCTGCTACCGGTTCACACATGGGATGTATTTTATATAAATGAATGTCTTGGGTCACATTTCTGTTGCTTTGTTCAACCCTCTTTGGTGCAGAGGATCTCGTTCAGAGCGGCAGGACGCCGCGACCTGTAAATGTGTATTCTGCTCCAGGCCAGTTGATGGTGAGTTTGTTGCCGCTTGTAGTCCAAGTTATATGAAGATATTCAGTTGTAAACTGTATTGCATCTTCAGTTGTTTTAGGTAGGGATGAATGTGGGTTAAATGAATCAATATACAGGATATCAACAGGTAGGAACAGAGGTAACAGGTTCCGAAACACGGACAAATAAATCCTAAAATAAATTTAAAAAAATGTCAACACTTCACAATGTGGTATATGATTCTATAATCTTATTGTAAGAGTCTCTGAACAGAAGTCCATGAAATTTAAACGAGTTGCACAAATCTTCCCCACTATTACACTAGTTCTTGGCTATCTTGCCTTGACTGGTAAGTCAAAAAACCTTGAACTTGAGCTATCAAAAATTGAAACACTAATTGCAACTTGCCTTCAAAATTATTATCCCAATATTGCAGTGACAGCCTTAAACATTTCTCACTGAGCACCATTTTTGAATGACCACGACAATCAGTCCAATGTCCATTCTACTCTCCTTCTGTTTCTATGGCTTTAGCCCTTTTGCAGCATCTGTGTGGCAGTCCGCCACATTGACATTGTACTTGCATAGAGACTACAAGGGAAAAGTAAAACACATGACATGCTTCATGAATTTTTTTCTACACTTCTCTTCCCCAGTGGTTCAACAGACCTTTGTTTACCTTTTAGCACTAAACACGAGGGGTCAGACAAGAAGCAGTGGTCCAAGGTGTGAGCTCCGCGAAAAGCCCTGACTGCTGGGTTTACACATGCTGTAGACAAACAGTAAATCCCAGCTCGCCTCATTAAGCCCGTTCTGAGCATGATAAGGGTGTATTGATTTGAATGTTCCAACCCTTTTTAGATAAACAGTCTGGAGGATCTGCGCTCTTTTTTTTCTAAATCAGATTTCACTGGCCTTTACTAGAACAGATAGTGTCCTCACAGTGCTCAAGATCACTCTGTCTATCTTCTGAATTCATCTGGTCACACTGTGCAGGACATGTGTGTGTGTGTGTGTGTGTGTGTGTGTTTATAGACAGATAAAGCTGCAGGTCCTTATCTCGGAGCCTCCTGGTCTCCCTCTCTCTGCTCTCCACGGCTCCTCATGTTCATGTTCTCTCCCTCCTTTTCTCCTCCTCCCCTTTTCATTCCCCTCTGCCTCCTCAGCTTCGCTCCTCATCACCTCCTCTCGTCCTCTTACTCCATTTCTCCTCATCACAGCTGGTTTTCAGCTCCAGATCAAACAGGAAATTGAGGCAGCAGTCAAGATAACTGGAAATTCGCTCTTTGTTCTGTTTGACTGGCATTAAATGTCTTTATTTGTCAGCAGATTGAGTGTAGTAAGCGTTTGGGTCTGAAATGATAAAGCTGAATGATAAATCCTCACTCAAGGATTTTAGTACCCGTAGTTCTCCTACTCATAACATTCAGCTGCTGGCTTTTTAAATGGAGTCATGTAATGGAGTGACGGAGTGATGTCGCAGAATTACAAAGGATTCAATCTAATTATAAGGCTCTGGCTTGTTGTTTGAAGAGAGTCACTGTGTGTGTGTGTGTGTGTGTGTGTGTGTGTGTGTGTGTGTGTGTGT